GCCGCCCGGCCGCCCGGCCGCCCGCCGCCCGCCGCCCGCCGCCTGCCGCCCGGTTCCGACCCGCCCGGTTCCGCCCCGCCCGGTTCCGACCCGCCCGGTTCGGACCCGCGTAGAGAACGCTGCCACATGGGACATCGTGACGGCGGAACAGGGCCGGACGGAACAGGGCTGGCGGAACAGGGCTGGCGGAACAGGGCCGGTCGGAACAGGGCCGGTCGGAACAGGGCCGGTCGGAACAGGGCCGGTCGGAACAGGGCCTGGTCGGAACAGGGCCGGCCGAAACAAGGCCGGCGGAACAGGGCCTGGTCGGAACAGGGCCGGTTCCAATTGTGCTCTCGCTGGTCGCGACCTGCCGGCACCAGAGGCTCGAAGTGGCTGTCCACGGCCAACAAGCTACTGAAGCGAGAGGCGCGGGCCCAAGCCAGAATGAGAGGTGGACAGCTCGTGGCTTGAGCCAAAAGGGCTACGGAGGGGCTCTCTGGGGCAATCTTGGGTCCCTCTTGGGCCGTCTTCAAACCCTCTGGGGGGCCTCTTGGGCCGTCTTGGGGCGATATCGGGGGCCCATCGGGCCCTCTTGGGCGCTGCGAAAATCCCAAAAACGGACATGCTGAAAATGAACATTTTCATAAAGGAATGAAGCGATTTTTGCTTCTTCGGGGCTCTCTTAACGGCCTCTTGGGGCGTTTTGGGGGTTTCGTGGGCCGTCTTCGGGCTATCGAGGTTCCTCTTGGAGTGATGTCTTGGGTCTCTCTTGCGCCTCTCCGATGGCCCTTCTGATCGCTTTGAGTCTGCTCGCAAGGCCTGGCAAAGCGCCCTGGAAGGGCCAGCGGATCTGGGGACCGCCGAGACGTCCGAAAGGGCGTCCGGGGCGTCCCTGGGGGGGGGTCCAATTTAGGGGTTGGGGTGTGGGGGGGTTCCGGGTAATGAAAATATGAGAATAGGAATATGCGCCACCGTGCCTCTGGCACGGAGTAGAGGGCCCCAGTGCTCACAGCTGTGCTGCAGTTGCAGCCAAGGTTGTGCTCACAGCTGTGCTGCTGCTGCTGCTGCTGCTGCTGCTGCAGCCGACACTGTAATTTCTACAGGGCCTGGGCCGCCAATTTCCTTGGCGCTCTTGGCGCTCCTGAAGTGTCCCGCATGACCTCCGGGACGGCTGCAACGCCCCACACGCCCCGCAGACTTTCGCGGCGCTCCCCACCACCGAGCGCCCAAGATGGTCAAGGAACGCCTCTAGACGGCCCAAGATGGCACCCAGACGGCCCGAGGGGCCTCCACGACGCCCCGAGAGGCCTCCAAGAGGCCTCCCAAAAGGGCCCCAATAGGCAAAAACCATAGCTTTTCCAATGTTCTTGGGAGGTTTTCTGGCGTACTCGCATTTTCGGCTTGCCGTCGCTCCAAGACGGTTCCAAAGGCGCCCAATCTAGCCCCAAGACGGCCTAAGAGGCCCCCAAGACGTCCCCAAGACAGCCCAAGAGGGCCCCAAGACGCTCCAAAAAAAAGGCCCCCAAGACGGCCCAAATTGCCCTCGAAGGCTCCCACAGCGGGCTCAGACAAGGTCCCCCAACGGACAGTTCGAGCCCGCGGCCCCAAGAAGCCCCCAGGAGGCCCCGAGAGGCCCCCAAGAGGCCCCCAAGAGGCCCCAGGAGGCCCCCACGAGGCCTACAAGATGCCTCCCAAGAGGGCCCAAAGAGGCAAAAATCCCCAACGAACAAACTAGAGGCCTATGACCCACAACTCAGGCACAGTGGCGGGATGGGCCGAAGGCCATTCGATCCGCCGCCCCCTGTGGTCTTGCCACAAGAGTGCCCGGCGTGCTGAACCCCACGGTTTGATTTTGGTTCTTTTTCCAGAAAAACTCCCCGTGGGGCTTCGGCCCAGCGCGCTGGCCACCCGAAAGGATCGCCAACAACTTCAATGTCCACGACAACATCTGAAAACAACGGCTTAAGATAGCCTCTCCGACGGCCAAGATGTCTCAAGATGGCCTCCAATATGCCTCCATGACTGCCAAGATGGCTCCAAGAAGCCCCAACGTGGCCCCACGATACACCCAAGACGGGCCAATATGGCCTTAAGAAGGCTCAATAAGCCTCCAAGAGGTCCTCCAGGAGGGCCCGAAGAGGCCCAACTCATTGATGTTACTTAGTTTTTGAAGGACTTTGCCCTTCGCTTCTTTTCGGCCTTCCGATGGCCCAAGACGGCCCAAGAGGGCCCCAAGATCGACCCCAGATGCCCCCAAAGCCTCCCGAATGACCCCATGACGGCCCAAGAAGCGTCCAAGACAGCCCCAAGACGGCCCAAAAGGCATTCAAAACGCCTGTGGTGGCCTCCAAGACGGCCCGGAAGCGCCCCAAGAGGGCTCCAAATCGATCCAGAGAGGCCCCGAAGACGGCTCCCGGCGGCATCAGACGGGCTAGGAACGCCCTACGACGGCCAAAGAGGCTCCCAAGAGGCCTCCAAAGGCCCCCAAGAGGTCCAAGGAGCCACAAGAAGCTCCCAGAAGGCCTCAAGAGTCCTCCTCCTCTTCCTCCTCAGCCTCCTCCCCCTTCTTTTTCTTCTTCCTCCTCCTCCTCCTCCTCCTCCTCCTCCTCCTCCTCCTCCTCCCCCTCCTCTTCCTCCTCTCTATATGTCCTCCCTCTCCTCCGCTTCTTCATTTTCCCCCGCGTGTTCCCGACAAGTTTCCACAACGGCTGGGGGAACACATGGTTGGATAGCTTGGCGGAGCTCTGGCCACCGCGTTCGGCCACATGACCGATTCCAAAAGGCAGGGGGCCGAGAGGCCTACAAGAAGCTCCCAGACGGCCCCAAGAGTCCTCCTCCTCCTTTTCAGACTCCTCCGTCTCCTCTTCCTCCTCCTCCTCCTCCTCCTCCTCCTCCTCCTCCTCCTCCTCCTCCTCCTCCCCCTCCTCTTCTCCTCCCAATGTGTCCTCACCCTCCTCCGTTTCTTCTTTCCCACCCGCGTCCTCCCCGAAGGGATTCCACAACGGCTGGGGGAATGAATGGTCGGATAGCTTGACAGAGCTCTGACCACAAAGTTCGGCCACATGGCCGATTCCAGAGACAGGGGGCGGCGATGATTCGCCGAAGGCGTCTACGATAAATACACACAGAACCCTGAAAAGACATGTTCTTTAAGGACCAATGCGAAGTCCACGTTACAGCAAACACTGGACCATGTGCAGACATCACAACATCAATTTGAAACGGCTGCTGTCAGGCATATAGAGGCGGGGAAAATTGTAACAACATCAACAAAACGATCTTCTTGAATGGTAGGCGGACGGCAACGGCCAAAGAGGATCATTCAGTGAGATTCGCCTTTCAATGCTGGCACCGTGCGCAGGGGTGCACCATGGGCCAGGTCATTGACAAGCCGCACTTTGGCTTGCGCGATTGGGAAGCGGACGCCACTTACTGCCCGGGTGCTCTTCCAAGCTGATCCTTCACAAGGCCGCTGGCGTGGGGGGTTCCGCGTTCGGCCTTGCGGTTTCGTTCCCACCAATCGGATCGCTAACATGCAACGCGCAATGCAGTCGAGACGTTTTTCCGTAACATTGACAGGCGGATGCCACTTGATGCGACGGGCCCCGCCTGGCCTAATTCAAAATCTTTTCGGCTTCCATCCCTGTGCCACTTTTGTTGTCATTTTTTTCACGGGGATGTAGTGGTGATGGATGGAGGCGAGCATTGTTTCCGCGGGGCGCTGGCCCACCAGCTTTGCATGGGATTTCCCAGGGGTGGTGGGGGTGTCGACAGATTGCCCGATGTGTGCTGTCACGTGCGCTGTCGCAACTGGCGCGCCAAGCGCGCCTGGCAAGCCTTGGGCAGCTGGCGTGCCTCGCGAGCGTGGCGAACCTCTCGTCCCAATTGGCCCCCTATGATTGTGCACAAGACGGCGGCCACTGCGCACGCCAAGACTTGTGTGATAGGCGGGGGCGGGCGAAACAACTTGCGGCGTTCCCGTGGGGAGCTCCCTGTCCCCCTCCCCTTCAGCTCCCTGCTCTTCCTCTGCCTCTTCCCCTGTCCCGCTCCTTGCCCCTTCAGCTCCCTGCTCGAGGGGCGCCCGCCCCCCCGCCCTCCGCGAGGCAAGCGGCGCAGGCAGGCAGGGGTCCCGCAAAGCTCTGCGGCCGACCGAGAGTCCCCAGCAGCCCACGAAGCGGGCGAGAGGGTCAGCAAGGGGGCCAGCAGGGCGACGAATGGCGGTGCGGCCGAGGAGGGCACCCCGCGCCGCCCAACGATAGCAACGGACGGTTCTGCATGAATTTCGGCCGCAGGAAGCCGCTTCTCGGCCCCGGGGCCGTCAAACAACGGCTCGTCGTCGTCGCCGTCGTCGTCGTCGCCGTCGTCGTCGTCGTCGTCGTCGTCGTCGTCGTCGCCGTCGTCGTCGGAGTCATCAAACGACGGCTCAGGGTGCGCGGCCGGCCCCTGGGGAGGGGGCAGCAGTCTGGCGGCGGCCTCGGGGGGATGGGGGCCGAGGGCGAGGCGTCGATGATGGGCCAGGGCGAGGTCCAGGGACTGCAGGGCCCGATCACCCACAGATGGCAGGGGCCAAGGCCCAGGGCGAGGCCCAGAAGAGTACGAGCGCCAAATGGTAATGATAATGCTGACGACCATGATCAGTCGAAGGATCGAGAGCATCGGCAAACGCCAGGGGCAGAACACTGGCCGCACTGGCAGTACCATCGAAGCCTGGCCACAGCAGCGTGGGTCAAGAAGCCGAGCCCCTTCGCCGACGGCCCCAGGCCCCATGAAGACATCCTGAGGAGTGCACCACGGTTGAGAGCCCTGCAGCGGAGGCCAGTCCACAAGAGACCCTCCACAAGAAACCCAACCCTGCGACCCCAGGACGTCCATTGATTTCTGGTGTGGCGGCGGCGCGCTTTCCGCAGCAAAGCCATCGAAACCCAAGAAACCCGGGGCACCCTGGAGGCAAGCAGGGTGTGTCTTGGCATGGGTCTCCATTGTAACACGAACCACAGCTAAAGCTGTTCTTAAGCCTCGTGCCAACCACACCCACAACGTGCTTGTGAATCACAACGCCTTGGGTCGCCCTAAAAAGAAGACGCAAGAGACGGACTCAACATACGACCCACGTGGCGTTGTCGATACAGCGGCGCCGTGACTGTGAGCTCGACAACGGCGAGACTGGGGATGGCGCTTGGATGGCGGTGCGCATGCAATCGGCAGATTCCTGTGAAGCATGCGTCTAGGAAACCTAGCTAAGTGGTCTCAGCGCTTGATGACCATCTTCTGGCAACTACAGGTGCAACCAAGAAAGGCTTTCCATAACGACAACTGCACTGCACGGCCGCTGGCTCTTCACCGCGACGCCATGATACCGCGGAGCTTCCTATGGCGGCCTAAAAGACTATTAACCCACGCTGCCTACTCATCTGCCTCCAGTTGTCTGCGATGCTCAGCGACCTTGTCGATGAGGGCCTTGAACTCGCTGTAGTCTAGACTTCCATCATGGTTCCCATCGTTCTCGCAGGGGGGGGGGGGGGCGTTCATACTGCTGCTGCCGCAAGCGCTGCTGCTCTTGCTGCGACTGCTGCTCCCTCTCCAATCGCAGACCTGCTGGCAATCACGTTGGCATGCCCAACTTCTCGTGGCAGACGCTATGATCCCTCGATCGCCTCTGGCAACCACGAAACCAGTGGGACTAGACTGCATGCAACACTCTGTGCGTTCCATGGTGCGCCCGGGTCCCCCGCACAGCGGTCTCGCACCACGTCTTCAGACGCCAACCTGCGCCCTGCCCGCTGCCTCTTTCGTTTCCTCTCCCCGTGTCAAAGCGGATGCGTCTCCGACTGGTCCTCGCCCCTCTTTGACCAGGGCGGCTCTCCCGGAAGCCGTCTCGCGCCTGCGCCCTGACACGTACGCGCTGGTGCTCGTGCCTGGCCCACAGACAGCTCAGCCGACCCCCCTGGCCCAAAAGTCCGTGGCAACCTGCCCAGACCGTATTGCAGTGTGGGCCGGGTGTGCGGGGGGCGGCCCTCTAAGAGAAGCCCATGAACAACGAGCCCACATGATCGTTCAGACTTGAACGGCAGCGAGTGGTCGCCCCACCCACTCTGGGCAGACCCCATGGTCCAGACATTACCCTCTAGTTACACACCTCGTCCAGGACGGTGAACTCAAGTCGACGCCATGAACTCCGATGGAGCCACTGTAGAGCAATGCAACGCAAAACGGATAACACAAACATCCGGATGGCCGCCTCGCGAAGAAGCTCACGCGCGAACCACCCGACCTTTGGCCGCACAGTCGTGCAAAGCCAGGGTGAGGAAGCGACCTTTTGGTGTACAGCTGGCTTGCTTCACCGCGACGTGCACGAGCCATGAACGAGTGCGGCAACGATAGGGGGGGGACTGGCTCAGGGGGCACCGCCGATGGATCAGCGATAGGGCCGCGATAACAAATTCGCACGTTCCTGAGCTGGGTGGGCAATCGGGCCCCTACCGGCGATGAGTGAGCGATTCGGGGTCGAGTCTTCCCCCCCCTCCTGAGCATGTCTCCCCTGACGCTGCCCCTGAGCAGTGTGAGGAGAGGCGAGGCGGCGGCCAGAGCAGCGGCGGCGGTGCCACCAGAAGAGGGCGGAGAAACTTTTGGGGGCGCGGCCCTCGCCTGGTCAATGATGAGCGCCCCCTCCGTGCCTCCCACGACGTCCCTCAGCTCAGCAATGCTGATGGTCCCGCTCCCGTCGCTGTCGAAGAAGTGGAACAGCTCCTGGCTGGGTCACGTCGCCCCTCCATCCCTTCCCCTTCCTGGCTCCTGCGTCTTTCTCGTGGAAATCCCCGGCGAGTCGCGAGGGAGGGAGGGGGGCACCGAGGAAGGGGGGGAGGGGAGATGAAGGGAGAGGGGGCAGCGGAAGGGCGGTGCTCGGTAGGTGCGGAGCGCGTCGGTGAGCGGCCAAGGATGTACGAGCCGGTGGATGATCAACTACGCAATCGATTGTCGCTGCGGCACTTTTTTGGTCGGCGGGTCGGGAGCGGGCCCCTTCCGGTCAAGAGCTAAACGGGACGCGAGTAGCCCTAATTGGGGAGACAGGGCGCGGGCGGGCAGGGCCTCAGGCGGCCGGAGGGCTCAGAGTACAGGGGGTGCCGAAGAACTTGCACAGGACAAGGTACGCCATGGACTGGAGCAGGGGGCGAGGTCCCAGAGGGAGAGTGGATGGGTGTTGCCGTCATCGGCGCGCCAGCAAGTCACTGCGGCACACGCAGTGGTGTCAGGGACGACTCGCCATGGCCTGAGGCCTTGTGGCTCGTTCTGCTCTTCGGAGGGCGTCCATGCAGGCCGAGGAGGTCCCGAGGAGCTCTCAAACCCATCCAGGGGAACCCCGAGACGGCAGGCGGACTCACTACGGCCCAAGAGGCTATCAATGCGCTCCGCAGGGCTCCAAGAGGACCCCGAGAGGGCCCTAATATGCAGAAATCCTGGACTTCCTGCAAGCTTTTGAGCGATTTTAGCGGTCTCGCCTATTGGGGCCTTCAGCGCTCCAAGACGACCCACGAGCGTTCCGCGCCAAGACAGCCCAATCGGCCCCCGAGTGGGTCCCAAGACGGCCCAAGAGAGCACCTAGACGGCCCAGGAGGCCAACAAGAGGCTCCCAAAATAGGACCCCCAACCTGATATTTCGAGCCCTTCTTCTAAAGATGGCCCCCGAGCCGTAAAGCAACGCATCTGGTCCAAAGTGCGTGGGCCGCAAGCCGCTGTTATCGCCACCATCCTCGATGCTGACTGGGACCCAGTCGCGGCGGATCCCTGACACCGCAGCCTGGACGGTGAACTCAACCCGAAGCTTCAGTCGGCCAAGAGCGAGCTTAACCTTGCCGATGCTGACGTCGATTCGCCTCCGACCTCGAGACGGGCAACCGACAGCCCGCCAGCAGGCAAGGCTCTGGCCTATCAAGTGCGGCGCTGCGCAGACAATCAGGTTACAGACTTCGAGCCCAGGGGCCATCTCACCCCGCAGGCTCTGGCAGGATTGGACCAGAGCTCCCCTTTTTGGCTTGCAATCTTCACCAAGCCTTTCCTTGATGCACGGGGGGTGAAGGAACCGTGGCGGCTGCTGCAGGGGGGTGGGGGTAAGCCCTGGTGGACAGTCGCACTGCCGCGGCACACTCAAGAAGGGCCCGCGTCTTATCAAAACGGGCTCGAGGCGCCACATGTCAAGCCATCCGCGCCGACGCAATCGAGCTTACAGCTTAATGCCGTGATGACGCACGGACGCGCGTCGCTTTCCAACGGTGGCGCCAAGGCTCCCCTGTCTGGCCCTCGTCAAGCAGTGCCGACAGCCAAGCTCTTGACATGTTGCGTCACCCCCGAGAGTGGCACTGGGCCTCTGCACGTTCTGGCACATCGCATGGGGCCCGCGCGTGGCCCATTCCAGAAACCCTGATCCCCAAACCTGTCATTTCTGAAGGGGCCCCAAGACACACACATAGATACACACAAATAAACAATCCCCATACTTTTCAATATTTTCTGGGTTTTCGTCTTCCCCCCCACTTCCCATATTTTCTGGGAATCGACGATTCATTGTGCCTCTGTGTGTGTGTTTTCCCTCCTGAATTTCTTGGGGAAGCAACTTTGTTTATGAAGGAAGAGAACGGGCGGAGCGCAACACTATGACACACGACCCACCAATCGACTCGGAAACGCGGGGTACGAACTTTACGCATGATCTGTGCCAAGCTCGCTCTACGAGCGCACGTCACTGCGCGTGCGCTGGCCCCGCTGTGCAGGAGCCCCCCCGCTTCCGGCAGGGAGCTTTGCGTGGGGACGAGATGCGCCAGGCCAGACAGACCAACAGAAACTGAGCCGAGGAAGGACGAGGAGGAGGGGGAGGAAGACCAGTGCAGACCCAAGAGTCATCAACGATGTTGGAATCAACCCTCCCTCCCAGCTCCCTCTTCACAAGTCCCGACAACGGTTCATTTCCACTGAGGGAGCTGCCCCGCTGGAAAGCATCCGGTTGAAAACCCTGAAGCATGCCAAAACATTGTTCTCGGGATAACTGCTGCACCTCCATGGTCCTACATCCTTCCAACACACAATTGCTGGTACTTGATCATGGGAATCCGTGAAACTCTGTGCGCGGCGCTAAAGCGAGAACCACATTTTGAAAACGGCCCGCCCTCAGTCCGTGAATCTCTGACACGTTGTGAAAAACGAACGTGCGCGGCGCTATGGCGAGAGCCACAATTTGAAAACGGCCCGCCCTCAATCAGTGGAGCTCTGTGTAAATGCTCAAAAAGAATGTGCGCGGCGCTAAAGCGAGAACCACATTTTGGAAACGGCCCGCCCTCAATCCGTGACGCTCTTGCACATGTTCAAAACGAATGTGCGCGGCGCTAAGTCGAGAGCCACATTTGAAAACCACACGCTCTCCATCTTTGAAACTCTTTTACATGTTCAAAACGAATGTGCGCGGCGCTAAGGCGAGAACCACATGTTGAAAACGGCCCGCCGTCAATCCGTGAAACTCTTTGTACACGTTCAAAACGAAAGTGCGCGGCGTTAAGGCGAGAGCCACAATTTGAAAACCACCCGCTCTCCATCTGTGAAGCAGCTGCCAGTGTTTAAGCTTCAGGGTCATACATGGTGAGGAGGTCCCAGGCAAAACGCCTGGTCCGCCCTGACATTTGCCTCGGGGTGCGACAGGGAGGGGTTCCTATTAGGAGGAGGAATGGAGGAGGAGGAGTAGGAGGGGGAGGATGAGGAGGAGGAAGAGGGGGAGGAGGAGTAGGAGGAGGGGGAGGAAGAGGAGGAGGAGGAAGGAGGGAAGAAACAACTTGGGGGAACCACTTTTACTTCCGCCGGCGGAACCACCTTCGTCCCACCTTCCGCCAACTTTCCGCCCTTTCAGCGGCGCCAGCCTCGCAACCTCTCGGAAAGGCGAAGCAACTTCTGGAGCGCTTCGCAACGGGGCCAAGCTGGTAGGGAAGGACAGGAGCGACAAATGCAAAATAACGTCGACCCTGTCATCGTGTGTGGGAAGCTTTTCCGTTTGAAAGGTCAACGTCGCCGTCGTCGTCATCGTCGTCAATGTCGTCATCGTTGTCGTCGCCATGAAACACTTTTCCGTCTAAACCCTCCTTCCCAAGTGTCCCAGCCAAAGAGAAATCACGCAACGTCGAAAACGAGTCGAAGGGAAACCCCTTTCCTTTAATCCTTCCCCCGCCAGGGGTGGTGGTGGTGGTGGTGGTGGTGGGTAGGGGGCTGGTGGGGGGGGGTGCGGTAGGGGTGTTTTTGGGAGGAAGGGCGCAGGGTGGGGGGGGGACGTGTGTGGGTGGGGGGCCCCGGGGGTTGTGACCCCCCCCGGGGGTAGCACCCTTCCCTGGGAGAAGCTTTCCCCTTCGTCTTCTTGGCTCCTAAACGCCTCGGGCGTACTTGCACCGCGGCCAGAGGGCCCTGCAGCAGCCCAAGATCGCTCCAAGACGGCCCATGATATCCGCCAAACGGCCTCAACATGGTCGACCCACGAGCCCGGAACGGGATTTAGAACTGCGAGGCATGGGAACGTTTCCAAGCACTTCAATTAGGCGACGGGCAGTGGCAGTGCTGAAGATATCAATGATGATGTGATATTCTGCTAAGGGCTGTTTTGTGTTGCTCTGCGCTGTGCCGCGCCACATAATGACGTGCCGGGGACGCGCCACGGAACGTGCCAGTGGAAGTGCCAGGGGACGCGACAGGGGACATGCCGCGTTGAACTGTGCCGTGCGCTATTGCATTGTGGGTCAAGCCGTCCTTGGCGTCAGAATGCTGACCGAACTGATTTGGATCTTGAACTCAGGCTGTCTAAACGCATAGTTCGGGCTGGTTGCAATCGAAACGCGCGGGGCGCTCGACTAGTCCGATCTCAAGATCCAATTCATTTCCGCAGCCCTCGCTCGAGACACCCAGATGACCACATGTTGGATATCACCCTGTGTAGCCTGAACGCGTGAAAACGTGGTTCCAGCTCAGGACAACCATGTTAGATACCCCCTGGGCGGCCTCGACTCGTTACACCACATGGTGCCAGCTCGGGGCAACCATGTCAGATACCGCCCTGGGTGGCCTGGACAAGTGAGAACACATGGCTTCAACGCGGGACCACCATGCGAGAACTCCAGGGCAAGATCTGGAAGTTGCAGAGCACGCGGGAGGAGGTCCAGAAGCTCAAATCCTCGCAGCTGCTGCGTTCTGACGGGGGGGAGGTTGGCAACACGTGGGAGGATGTCCAAAGGCTCAGAATCCTAAGAATTGTCGTGTTCTGGAAGGGCGGAACACGCGGGAGGCGGTCCAGAGGCTCGGAATCCTCGCAACGGCCTCGCTCTCGGTGGGCGCAACGTGGGGCCCTTTCGGCCCAGGGCGCAGCAAGCGTGAAAACACATGGGCCCCCTTCGCCCCCCAGAGCGGAGCAAACTCGACCCCGAGCGGAACAGGAGTGAAAGCACGTGGGCGCCTTTCGCCCCCGAGCGCAGCGAGCGTGCAAGTACGCGGGCCCCCGTCGCCCGAGAGCGGAGCCGGCGTGGAGACATGTGGGTCCCTTTCGCGCCAGCGCCAGAATGCCATACGCGTGGCGACCCGTGGCCCCCCTCCAAGAAGCCCCCAAGAAACCTCCCCAGAGCCCCAATACGGAACGTGCCAAGTGGTTACTCCAGATTTCGTAATAAAAGGGAGGGGGTCACAACCCTCCCAGACGGGAAGTTTTAGACCCCCCCCCCGTGGGAGAACCCTCCAAGACATCGTCCCCAGACCCCCCCAAGGCCCTCCAGGATAGCCTGGAAGAGACCCCCCCCCGAAAGGAGACCCCCCCTCCCTTTATCACGAGATCTGGAGTATTCATCTCGTGCTGGTTCGTTGAGCCTGCTCTGCTTCTGTGCCTTCCCTCACGCCCGGGGAGAGGGGGGCCGCCCCTGGGCGGCCAGGACGCGCGGCAGCACGGGGGGTCCCTTTTTCGACCCAGAGCGGGGTGCACGCGAGCTCGCGTTGGCCCCTTGCGTTCCACAGCGGAACGGGCGCGAAAACACGCGGGCCCCCGTCGCCCCAGAGCGGAGCAGGCGTGAACACACGTGGGTCCCGTTCGCCCCAGGGCGCATCAAGTGTGAACGCACACGGGCCCATGTCGTCCCACAGCGGAGCGAGCGTACAGGCGTGTTGCCACGCGTGCCCCGCCCCGAGGCGAAAGGGACCCACGTGATGTCACGCTTGTTCCGCCTCAAGCGAAAAAGGGCTGGGGCGAAAGGGATGGCCTCTCCACTTCTTCCAACCGAGCGTGTCGTTCGTGACATCCTCAAACCTTCTGCGCGCAGGACGCGCATTCCTCGAGCGGGGACGCAACAAGTCGGCATGCTGGTATTTGTTGTCAAAGGTTAGGGTCTCCAGACCACGCTTTTGACAGCGGATTCTTCGGAAAACGCTCCGCACCCTCTAAGAAGGAGATGATGTCAGCCACTCGCAGAGGGAGGGCATCCTGAACTTAAGAACGACCCTTTCTGCCAAAACGTCTCTGGCACACTAGGCCATGCGCCGTGCTGGCTGTCGTCTCACCCTCTTGGGGAAGGCCAGCCGCCAGATGGGCGGCACAGGCGAAGACGCGAGCCTGTGACTCACTGAGGAGCCCCAAGACCACATCCTCACCTCGCGTTGTGGAGGCGATGGTGATGACGAGAGGAAATCGCGGTAGGGCGAACACGAAGGAAGGTGCACGGCTGCAGGACGGAGGAAGGGACGCGGAGGATGAAGAAGTGAGAAGACGATAAAAATAATGAGTAGGAGTAGGAGTACTAGGAGGAGGAGGAGGAGGAGGAGGACGAGGAGGAGGAGAAGGAGAAGGCGGAGGAGCAGAATACGATGAAAGAGTGGGAGGAGGAGAAGGAGGAGGAGGAGGAGGATGATGATGAGGAGGAGGAGGAGGAGCCCACGCGGAGTGTGGCGTCATACCGCGTCCTTGATGGCGTTCTCGACGCCCAAGATCTGTGGGGCCATCACCGCGCTCAACCACTCGTGGTACGATATCTTCCTGTCCCCGCAGCCGGCTCTCGCTCGCCCGTGAGGGAGGAAGAGGACGAAGGGAAGGAGCGAAGAAGGATGAGGAGGAGGAGGAGGAGGAGGAGGAGGAGGAGGAGGAGGACGAGTCTCCCCCTTCTCCTCCTCCTTCCCCTCCCCCTCCCCCTCGACTTCCTCCTCCTCCTCCTCCTCCTCCTCCATGCCCCTGTCCTCCTCCTGCCCTTCCGCCAATCCCGCTCCTCCTCCTCCTCCTCCTCCTCCTCCTCTTCCTCCAGCCCCTGCTACCGCTCCTGCTCATCCTTCCCCTCTTCCCCCTTCCCTTCCTGCCTCCCTCCTGCCCTCTCCCCTCTGTCTGCGCCTCAACTCCTCCTGCCTCCTGCCCCGCCCCGCCTCCTCCTCCTCCTCCTCCTCCTCCTCCTCCTCCTCATCAGCATCATCATCATTCCTCCTCCTCGGAGGAGGATGCGGAAGAGATGCAGGGTGGAGAGGAGGAGGATGTGGAATAGAAATGAAGCAGGAGAGGCGGGTGGAGAAAATCATAATAATAATACTCACACTACAAATAATAATACGAATACTGCTACTAATAATAATACTCATACTAATAATGCAAATATCAATACTAGTACTAACACTAATACTAATCAGAATACGAATAATAATTACGATACTAATACTAATACTAGTAGTAGTAATAATAATAAGAATCCGCCGGCCCCCTTGTGGGACCACCAGGCTGTAGGGCGAAGGTTCGCAGTTTCCTGTACCAGTTGCAGCTTCCAGTTTCCACTGTTACAGTTCTGCTTCTTGCTGCTTACTGCTCCTTGCTGATGGACCGCGCGAGGGGGGGGAGGCCCAAACGGGCAGGTTTAGCACGCCCTGAGCGTGTGCTCTGAATTGCTGGGGTGGGTAAAAATTTACGCCCCTCACGCAGATCGGCGGGGTCAGGGTCCAACAACACAAGGGATTTGCCACAGTTCTGAAATTCGGTGGCACCTCTCACGCGGATCGGCGGGGTCACGGTCCGAAAACAAATGGGATTAGCCACATTTCTAAAATCTGCTGGCACCCCTCACGCAGATCGGCGGGGTCAGGGTCCAAAAACACAGGGAATTTGCCACATGTCTGACATTCGGTGGCACCTCTCACGCAGATCGGCGGGGTCAGGGTGCAAAAACAATGAGGATTTGCCATATTTCTGAAATTCGTTGGCATCCCTCGCGCAGATCGGCGGGGTCAGGGTCCAAAAACACAGGGAATTTGCCACATGTCTGACATTCGGTGGCACCTCTCACGCAGATCGGCGGGGTCAGGGTGCAAAAACAATGAGGATTTGCCATATTTCTGAAATTCGTTGGCATCCCTCGCGCAGATCGGCGGGGTCAGGGTCCAAAAACACAGGGAATTTGCCACATGTCTGACATTCGGTGGCACCTCTCACGCAGATCGGCGGGGTCAGGGTGCAAAAACAATGAGGATTTGCCATATTTCTGAAATTCGTTGGCATCCCTCGCGCAGATCGGCGGGGTCAGGGTCCAAAAACACAGGGAATTTGCCACATGTCTGACATTCGGTGGCACCTCTCACGCAGATCGGCGGGGTCAGGGTGCAAACACAATGAGGATTTGCAACATTTCTGAAATTCGTTGGCATCCCTCGCGCAGATCGGCGGGGTCAGGGTCCAAAAGCACAGGGAATTTGCCACATGTCTGACATTCGGTGGCACCTCTCACGCAGATCGGCGGGGTCAGGGTGCAAAAACAATGAGGATTTGCCACATTTCTGAAATTCGTTGGCATCCCTTGCGCAGATCGGCGGGGTCAGGGTCCAAAAGCACAGGGAATTTGCCACATGTCTGACATTCGGTGGCACCTCTCACGCAGATCGGCGGGGTCAGGGTGCAAAAACTATGAGGATTTGCCACATTTCTGAAATTCGTTGGCATCCCTCGCGCAGATCGGCGGGGTCAGGGTCCAAAAGCACAGGGGATTCGCCACATTTCTGATATTCGGTGGCACCTCTCACGCAGATCGGCGGGGCCAGGGTCCAAAAACAATGAGGATTTGCAACATTTCTGAAATTCGATGGCACCCCTCGCGCGGATCGGCGGGGTCAGGGTCCGAAAACACATGGGATTTGCTTCATTTCTGGCATTCGGTGGCACTCCTCGCGCGGATCGACAGGGCCAGGGTCAAAAGACACAGGGGATTTGCCACATTTCTGGACTTCGGCGGCACCCTTCACGCAGATCCGTAGGGTCAGGGTCCAAAAACACGAAAACACGGGGGGATTTGCCACATGCCTGAAATTCGGTGGCACCCCTCACGCAGATCCGTAGGATCAGGGTGGAAAAACAAACAGGGCCCGACACTGCTTCACGGCGGCGCCCAAACCTCATGTTTTAGCTTTTGCATCTCCCATTATCCGAGACAGGGGGCTGGCGGCATGGGGCGAAGCCCTTACGAATAATAATGATAATTAAGGGAATAAGAATGATGATAATAATAATGATACTACTCATAATAATAAGAATAAGAAGAATAAGACGAATAACAGTGGGCCCGAAAATTTAGCGGGTCTCTCGGAGATCCCAACACATGCTGTTATTATCCTTCGGAGGGTTGCAGCCGTGTTTGGACGCCTTCGGATGGTCCCTACCCTCATCTTCTTGATTCCTGCTCTCTGGGCACGGACACTGTCCGTGATAGACGAGGGGCCTTTCAGGAGGTCCCGGGAGCCCCCAAGAGGCCCCAGCGTCGCCACGGCATGATCCATTGGCGTGCGGTTTTTCCCCTCTGGGGGGCCGCGTGACCACCGAGTGGACAAACCACGGGACAGCGCACGGGACAACGATCGGGACAACCCACGGGACAACCCACGAGACGAACGCGGGACCAACCGTGTGACGATCACGGGACAACCGCGAGACAACCCAGTCCCGCGGCCCACTGCAACACATGGGTGCATCAGCTTGCTGTCCGAATCGGCCCGACCAGCTGCCAGCACATCATCGCCCTCGCGCAGCTTCTCCTCGCTCGCATTGTCGACCCGAGCCGAAACCGAGGTCCAGGCTGGTGTCACTTCTTTATCGCCCTCCAACCTCCGATTGTGTCGATCCTGTCATTCCCCAATGAAACTTTGCTTAAAGGGGTTCTTACTTGTTTGTGGAGAAACTGGTGGGCCTGGGGTGCTTCGTCAGAGGCGGCGCTCGGCCTTCCTCGGGGTCCTCGGACTTGGGCTCCTCGGGTTCCTCGCTCGACGCGGCAGGGTGCGCATACGAGACGGTGACAGTAGCATCGACACAGAAGATGAGTATGGGCACGTTGAATTTGTATGAAAGCGCGGCCTCATCGGCCAGGAGGAGGGGGAGGAGGAGGGGGAGGAGGGGGAGGACGAGGGGGAGGACGAGGGGGGAGGGGAGGAGGAGGAGGAGGGGAGGAGGAGGAGCAGGAGGAGGAGGAGGAGGGAGGAGGAGGAGGAGGAGGAGGAGGAGGAGGAGGAGGAGGAGGAGGAGGAGGAGGAGCGCTCGAGGAGAGACCATTCAGAGGAGCGTGATGGAATGCGGGCGAGGAAACGTGCGCGCTTCGTGCACCCAGGTGGGCCCGCGGTGGCAGTCCAGGGGCCCCATCAGGGCCCCGTGAGGACCGCTCTCCTGCAACCCTCGATCCCCCCTACGTGCATTGTTCCCCCCGCTGCCGTCCGCCCTGGGAATTTGCAGATTGCTCACAAAGGGTCGGGGGCGCGCATAATTACATGGATTGGCGGTCCATGGATCTGGCGCGCGGTCGCCCAATCCATGGATCGGGGGAGGTGCCATCCCCCAAATGCGGCCGGTGCCGCCTCGCTGGGCGGCGGCAATCCGCGATTTCCTTTGGAAACGGGACCCGTCGCTAATCCACGCCCCCTTGATCCATGTTTTGCGATCGCCTGAAAATGGTCTGGTGGTACAGCTTTTCACTGTGCCGTCCACGTCGGCTAGCCAATACCACCCGCGCGTCTTTTTCCACGAAAGCCTGGGGCGAGAGGGCAAATGGCGACAAGGAGCCAGGGATGGGGGCAACACAGGAGGAAAAACGCATGTGAAGGGACGCGCACGCGAGCACTGACATGTGAGGAGGTTGCAAAGGCAACACCAGCAAATAATGCCGTCCACGTACTTTGCATGAATACTGCTGCAACCGACCCTAGGCGTGGGACGTGGGGCATGGAACATCGGCAATGGCTGATGCAACCGGCATTGGGCACGAATGCGAATCTAGAGAGGGTGCGGGAAAAAAACATGATCAAGAACATGGCCTGCAAACCTCGCAGCCACCCCCGCCCTCCCGCTATGGTTCGTATCCACTGCCTCGAACATATCTTCCACTTCTTGGTCGGACAACCTCTTCCCCCTTTCTCTCCTGCTCCTGCGAAGGAGGAGGTGCCCCACTTGTTCATACGAGCGGCTGGAATTCGATTGCGTCCGCCACCGTGCCTCTGGGCACGGAGTGGGCGTGTCCTCAGGTCCTTCGTCTAATCCCTGGAGCCTCAATCCTCAGTCCTGAAAAGTTCCCGGGCTCAAATTTCCGAAATCTAGTGGGGCTTCCTGGGTCCTCGTATTGCTTGTTCGGGCCCAAGAAAACCCGACGCTCCCAAGACGCTCCAAGAAGGTCCCGAGTCACCGAAAGGTCGTTCCAAGACGCCCAAGATGGCCTCAAGACGGCCAACAAGGCCTCCAAGGCGCCCCAAGAGGCCTCCAAGAGGCCTCCAAGAGGCCTACCAAGAGGGCTCCAAGTCACAAATCATTGATTATCCTGAGGTTTTGCAAGATGTTGGCGTCTCGCCTTCTCGGCTTTCCGACGCTCCAAGACGGCCCAAGAGGCCCCCAAGACGGCCCAAAAGGCCTCCGAGAGGATCCCAGGAGGGCCTAGGAGCGCTCTAAGACGGCCCAAGAGGCGCCCAAGACGGCCCAAGAGGGCCCTAAGACAACCCCGAAAAGGGGCCGAAGAGAGGGAACACCAACTGAACATCCGAGGTTCCGTTCCGCCCCAAGAGGCCCCCAGGAGGCCCCAACAGGCACCCAGGAGGCCCCAAGAGGCCCCCAAGAGGCCTCCAACTTGCTTCCAAGAGGCCTCCCACGAGACCCCAACGAACATCCAATAGGCTTCATACCCGCAACCCAAGCACGGTGGCGGGATGGGCCGAAGGCTATGAGATCCGCCGCCCCCTGCTTGCAGGGGTGCACGGCGTGCTGGATATTTCAGGTTTTGGTTTTGGTTCTTTTTCTAAAAGAACTCCCCAGTGGGCTTCGGCCCGTCCCGCCGGCCACCCGTGAATTGCCGAAAATCCGTCTGTCAATGCCCAAAAACGGCCGTTTCGCTCGGGACATCCTCAAAAAATCGCGAAGATGGCCCAAGATGGCCTCCAAGTCCGCCCGAGATGGTCCAAGACGGCCTCCAAAACGGCCCAAGAGAGTCCAAGACGGCCCAAGACGGCCCAAGAGGCCCCCCAGAGGCCTCCCAGACGGCCCAAGAGGCCTCCAAGAGGTCCTCCAGGAGAGTCCGAAGAGGCCAAAATCATTGATTTTCCATTGGTTTTTGAAGGATTTTGGCATTTGCGCCTTTTCGGCTCTCCGACGGCTCAAGACGGCCCAAGAAGCCCCCAAGATCGCCCAAGAGGCCCCCAAGAGAGCCCCATGATGGCCCAAGTGGCCTCCAAGATGGCCCCTAGAGGGCCCCAAGAGGGCCCAAGAGGCCTCCAACACGCCCAAGATGGCCTCCAAGACGCCCAAGATGGCCTCCAAGACGGCCCTGGAGCATTCCAAGCGGGCCCCAAGTCGGCCCATAGAGGCCCCCCAAACGGCTTCCGACGGCTTCAGACGTGCCAGGAACCCACCAAGATGGCCGAAGTTGGCTCGAAGCTGGCCCGAGACGGCCCAAAAAGCCCCAAAGATCGCCCAAAGCTTGCCCAAGAGGCCTCCAAGACGGCCAAGATGACCTTCAAGATGCCCACGTGTTCCCCGAAGGCTTTCCAAACCGATTCGGGGAACACGTGGTCCGATAGCTTGGCAGGTCTGGCCTCAACGTTCGGCCACATAGGCGCTTCCAAAAAGGCAGGGGGCGGCGGTGATTCGCCGTAGGCGTCTTCGATCCGCCGCCCCCTGCTTGCAGGGGTGCACGGCGTGCTGGATGATTCAGGTTTTGGTTTTGGTTCTTTTTCTAAAAGAACTCCCCAGTGGGCTTCGGCCCGTCCCGCCGGCCACCCGCAAATTGCGGAAAACCCATCTCTCAATGCCCCAAAACGGCCGTTTCGCTCGGGACATCCTCAAAAAATCGCGAAGATGGCCCAAGATGGCCTCCAAGTCCGCCCGAGATGGTCCAAGACGGCCTCCAAAACGGCCCAAGAGAGTCCAAGACGGCCCAAGACGGCCCAAGAGGCCCCCCAGAGGCCTCCCAGACGGCCCAAGAGGCCTCCAAGAGGTCCTCCAGGAGAGTCCGAAGAGGCCAAAATCATTGATTTTCCTTGGTTTTTGAAGGATTTTGGCATTTGCGCCTTTTCGGCTCTCCGACGGCTCAAGACGGCCCAAGAAGCCCCCAAGATCGCCCAAGAGGCCCCCAAGAGAGCCCCATGATGGCCCAAGTGGCCTCCAAGATGGCCCCTAGAGGGCCCCAAGAGGGCCCAAGAGGCCTCCAACACGCCCAAGATGGCCTCCCAGACGCCCAAGATGGCCTGGCCTCCAAGACGGCCCTGGAGCATTCCAAGCGGGCCCCAAGTCGGCCCATAGAGGCCCCCCAAACGGCTTCCGACGGCTTCAGACGTGCCAGGAACCCACCAAGATGGCCGAAGTTGGCTCGAAGCTGGCCCGAGACGGCCCAAAAAGCCCCAAAGATCGCCCAAAGCTTGCCCAAGAGGCCTCCAAGACGGCCAAGATGACCTTCAAGATGCCCACGTGTTCCCCGAAGGCTTTCCAAACCGATTCGGGGAACACGTGGTCCGATAGCTTGGCAGGTCTGGCCTCAACGTTCGGCCACATAGGCGCTTCCAAAAAGGCAGGGGGCGGCGGTGATTCGCCGTAGGCGTCTTCGATCCGCCGCCCCCTGCTTGCAGGGGTGCACGGCGTGCTGGATGAGCTGGTTTTGGTTTTGGTTCTTTTTCTAAAAGAACTCCCCAGTGGGCTTCGGCCCGTCCCGCCGGCCACCCGCAAATCTCCGAAAATCCGTCTGTCAATGCCCAAAAACGGCCGTTTCGCTCGGGACATCCTCAAAAAATCGCGAAGATGGCCCAAGATGGCCTCCAAGTCCGCCCGAGATGGTCCAAGACGGCCTCCAAAACGGCCCAAGAGAGTCCAAGACGGCCCAAGACGGCCCAAGAGGCCCCCCAGAGGCCTCCCAGACGGCCCAAGAGGCCTCCAAGAGGTCCTCCAGGAGAGTCCGAAGAGGCCAAAATCATTGATTTTCCTTTGGTTTTTGAAGGATTTTGGCATTTGCGCCTTTTCGGCTCTCCGACGGCTCAAGACGGCCCAAGAAGCCCCCAAGATCGCCCAAGAGGCCCCCAAGAGAGCCCCATGATGGCCCAAGTGGCCTCCAAGATGGCCCCTAGAGGGCCCCAAGAGGGCCCAAGAGGCCTCCAACACGCCCAAGATGGCCTCCCAGACGCCCAAGATGGCCTCCAAGACGGCCCTGGAGCATTCCAAGCGGGCCCCAAGTCGGCCCATAGAGGCCCCCCAAACGGCTTCCGACGGCTTCAGACGTGCCAGGAACCCACCAAGATGGCCGAAGTTGGCTCGAAGCTGGCCCGAGACGGCCCAAAAAGCCCCAAAGATCGCCCAAAGCTTGCCCAAGAGGCCTCCAAGACGGCCAAGATGACCTTCAAGATGCCCACGTGTTCCCCGAAGGCTTTCCAAACCGATTCGGGGAACACGTGGTCCGATAGCTTGGCAGGTCTGGCCTCAACGTTCGGCCACATAGGCGCTTCCAAAAAGGCAGGGGGCGGCGGTGATTCGCCGTAGGCGTCTTCGATCTGCCACCCCCTGTTGATTTATCACAGGGGTGCCTGGCGTGCTGAGGTTTAGGAGATGTTGTTTTTTAGGGTTCCCTCTGGGGCTTCGGCCGATGCCGCCAGACATTCAGAAAGCTACCGAAATTGCGTCTCCCGCTGCGAAACGGCCAAGATGGCCCAACGTGGCCTCTAAGACGCCTCCACGACGGCCAAGACTGCCTCCAAAACGGCCCAAGAGGGTCCAAGCTGCCTCCAAATCCGCCCAACAAACCACCAAGACTGCCCGAGATGGCTCCAAGAGGGCCCAGGGCGGCCCCTAAGAGGCCCCCGAGAGGTCTCCAAGACGGCCGAAGAGGCCTCCAAAAGGTAACCAGGCAGGCTCGAAGAGGCTTCAAAACTGTCTCTCGTCGGCCCAAAAGACGGCCCAATAGGCTCCCAATGTTGGCCCAAGATCGCCAAAGCGGCCTCCAATACGGCCCCAGAACGGCTAAACAGGCTCCCAAGTCGGCCCCGAAAGGGTCCCAACACTGCCCAAGAAGCCTCCAAAGCGCCTCCAAAGCGCCCAACATGGTCTTCAAGACGGCCTCTTAAGCGCCCCAAACGGACCCCAGCACGGCCCAGAAAGGCTCCCACGATGGCTCCCGACGGCGTCATACGGGCCAGGAACGCCGCAAGACTGCCAAAGAGGCACCATAGAAGCACCTAAAGGCCCCCAAGAAGCCCAAGGCCGTTTCCAAGTCCCCCAAAGGCCCCCAGGACACTCCCAAGAGGGCCCAAGAATGACCCGAGAAGTTCCCAAGAGGTTTCCGTATTCTTCTCCTCATCCTCCTTTTGGCTTCCTCTCCTCGTCCTCCTCTGTATCCCCCACATGTTCTCCGAAGAGCTTCCACAGCGGCTGGGGGAGCGCGTGGTCCGATATCGTGGTCAAACTTTGCCCAAACGCTTGGCCACACAGGCGTATCCTAGAAGACAGGGGGCAAAGGTGATTGGCTGTATGCGTCTTCAATAACTGTTGGGCCCCTGACTGAAGAGGAGGGGGAGTAGGAAAAGGAGGATCACGAGATGCGGGCCGTACCGCATTCCAACGTCGCGAATGCGCATTCGCGCTTTGAACTCATTAGTGTAATTTCGTTCAAGATGTAAGACCATATCGCATCCGCAACACGGGTATCAATCCTGAGATGCCTGACGGCGCCGGCACCTATCATCGCTGCGTGGGGTACCTTGCGAACATAAGTGTCACGATTCCGTTCGCAATAATTGCTGATGTGCACGGGCTGCACGAGGTCAAGACAAATGCAGTGACAACAAAGTCACTACTTGCGCCTTTAACACGCATTGCAAGCAATCCTTCTGACCAGATTATGTATGTATGATATTCGTGTTTTCAACCTCAGCGAGGACACTTTGCCCTAGAGGAAGGGCCGCGGAAGTTTAGCCTGTGGTGGACGAGTTGAATGATCCTCTTTCCATGGCTCCTCTCTTCGCCTGAGTGTCAGCGATTCTGTGCTCAATTTACGAATGCAGAATCATCAGGTCATGAGGTGCGCCCCAATCAGAGCGCGGTTCAGGAGGCTGATGTCGGGGCCTCCTGTCAATGGCCATCCCCTTGTATCTCCACCCCGAACTCAGAAAACTTGGGGCAAACCTTTGCTAGACGTCTATAGGCACTTCTCGATTCAGCCGAATTTAGAGGCTGGCAGGGTCGACGACGAGGGAACGACTGAACACACGCACGAGTAACTCACCGCCGCAGCGAACACGGCGAGGAAGGTGTCGACGATGCCGTAGCTGATGGCGGCCATGTCGACCCCCGATACAGCATCCCAGAACGGCCCGTGGATGTCGGCCATGCGGCAGACCACTTGCAGAAGCTCCAGGGAGCCGATGCAGAGGGCGATGACGGCCGACATCGAGGTGACCAGGAAGTTGTAGAAGATCTTCTGGCTGGGCCGCGCTTTTGCCCAACTGTACGTGGCCAGCATGAGCAGCCCGTTGCCCGAGTCCACGAGGCACATGCCGCACGAGAAGCACAACAGAAAAACAAGCACCAAGGCCGGGGGGAGCTTCCCCGAGGCGCCGCTGATGGCGGCCATGCCGATCAGCCCGACCTGCGTGGCGGTGTCGAAGCTCAGGCCGAATAACAAACCAGCGCCGAACATCTTGTAGGGCTTGTCCACACGGTTCGAACAGCCCTCTCGCCACGGAGAAGCCCGAGAGGGCCGTGTGGAAGGCGGCGTGCGCGTGGCCGCCTTCGGCCTCGCCGGTCTGCCCACGCCACAGCACAAAGAGCTCAGAAGCAATGCGGGCGTTGAGCAGGCCGATTCCGGCCAGTAAGGTCACCGAGAGGAAACCCGCGATCGCGGCCACGTTCTCCATCACGGCCTTCGAGCCCGACCACATCAGCGAGTACCCACCCGCGACAGCAGCGGTGAGCGCCACCACCACTGCGCTGTGGCCGAGCGCAAACCAGAAGCCCACAGAGACTGGTGTTTGGCCGCGGCTCAGCAGCTGGCGCGTGATGTTGTCGATGGCAGCCAAGTGGTCGCAGTCCACAGCGTGCCTAAGGCCCAGGACGAACGCAAGGCCTGCGTGACTGAGCATCGCCGAGCCAGGGTACTCCTTATCGAGAAGGGCCGCGACCAACAAGGACGCAACCCCGCAAAGCGCAATCGCTGCAAGCAAAAAGCCACCTCTCATTGACACTGCTGTCGAGGTAGGACCCCCACTAACACTACGGTCCTCGTCATTCAAGAGCGGCTTGGTCTGCGCAGCCTGCTCGACATCGGCAAACATGAAATACCTGTGCAAACGAGCTGAACTGCTAATCGGTAGTACAGTAAAGTAAACAGGGGGGACCACACGCCCCTGAAGAGCCTCGACAGGCCAGACTCCTGACTGAGCAACTTCTCCAGCCAAAATGGCTACGGATCCCCTGAACTCTAGCTGTTGGGGCGACCTGAGCTGGCTTGGCGTCAGCCTGTCGGGGGATGCGGTGCCGAGGACCTGGATGTGGCGGTGGATTGCCATCGATCATCAATTTTCTTCGCCTATTGACTAGTAGATGGGAATACACACGGCTGGCCTCACGTGTGGACCATCTGGAGGTCACGCACTGGATACACATGCGGAGGGCTAGCATGCCTGTTCATCCGGGGGTCGAGCGCTGGAACGACGCGTGGTTACATGTGTACCCAGACCCCCGACGTCATGATGTTGTCATCACGTGGGCCCCGGAGGTATCGACCCACTCCTCAAGACTGGTTTCTCATCCCGAGCCGCTTTTGACGGTCCCGGGGCCCGGCGAGGGCCCCCGCAGGCCGAAATCGGCCCAACACCTTCCGCCCAGGCCGGCACTTCGCTCTCGCCCAGGCCGGCGTGCCCCGGTGCTCCAAAGGGTGCCACTTATCCCAGACAGGCATGCCCCGTCGGCTTCGCGCGGGGGCCGAGGCCCGGGCGGCCGCCCACAGGGCCCACGACCGCGCGGGCCCCCCGAGAGACGTGGGGATCGAGAGGTCTGAGGGGGGAGGGTCGCACGCAGGTGCGGACGAGGTCGGTGCCGACTGGAGCGCCGAAGTGCGCAGAGCAGCCGTTCGAATCTCGAGGTGCTCAAGGTGGTGTGGGTGCGGGTGGGACAGGTGGCCGCGGCCTTGAGTGTGGCAGCTCTTGAGAGCGAGCGCAAGCAGAAAATCACAGCGCTCCCTGGAGGTCTCCCCCGCGTCGCGGTCTCATCCCACACAGGTCGAGGGAGTAGGCTGAGAAGGAGGAAGAGGATGGGGAGGAGGAGGAGGAGGAGGAGGAGGAGGAGGAGGAGGAGGAGGAGGACCAATGTAAACCCAAGACTCATCAACGATGTTGGGATACACCCTCCCTTCAAGCTCCCTCATCATAAGCCCCTACAAGGATTCCTTCCCACTGAAAGAAATGCTCCGTTGGGAGACAGCCGTGTGGAAATCTTGAAGCGCGCCAAAACACCATGCTCAAGACGTCAACGCCACGAATCAACCTGACTGTTGCGTCTTGACGATGCTGAACCGTGCCTGAACGCTATTCCTGGGATTTCATCACAGCGAATCAAGGTAACTGTTGCGCCCTGACAACCCTGAATGACTCCAAAACACAATTTCTGGAAGGCTGACCATAGAATCAGCAAAACTATCGCGAGATTTAAGAACGAATGTGCGTGGCGCAACGGCGAGAACTACATTTTGGAAGCGGTCCGCCGTCCATCTGTGAGACTGTTGCAAGCTTCTGAGCTCCAGGATCCTAAATGGTAAGAAAGTCTCCAGCGAAGCGCCCAGCTCGCCCTTCCGACTGGCCTTGGGGTACGACAAGGAGGAATTATTCACGAGGAGAAGGGATGGAGGAGGATCGAGGGATCGGGGGATCGACCCCTCGAGCTTTCGACCCCGCCGGCTGCGGCCGCTCGCCTTCGGCCACAATCATCGGGCCTCCCGAATCGGTATCGTCAGACCTCCTCTGGAATCGCCCCAGCACCCCTTGCGTGTATCAGACTCGCCCGGCTGCTTTGACTGAGCAGCGCCGTGCGCCGCTGCCGCTTGGGCATCCCGTTGCATCCTCGTGCGCCGTCGGAGTGCTGCCGTGCCCGCCGCAGGGCCACCCGGTTGCGGGGAGCGGATCAGGCAAGTGACCGGGGAGAGGGGGGGGGTGAGGCTAGAGCTGCCTCCACCGATTCACGGCGATACTGCCAGGCAGGCGTGTTGCTCTCGAGCGGCACTGCTTCACGGAGTCGCAGAGACGGGGGAGCAGGAGGAGGGCTCCATCTTGACCATCTGCCGTTGCCGACGGCGGGGAGGGGAGAGCTAAGAGCTGCGCCCTGAACCAGCTCTGCCTGACTAAACTGGTGGGGATTTCGAGTCCGGTCCATCCTGGCGAAGCTCAGGGACGCGCCAGCGCGAGCTGCAAGTCCCGCCCACCTGCTCCCATCCTTATTCCCAGACCCCGTGGCGTCGAGACAACAAAGAAAAACGGCGACAAATCCCTGACAATTTTCAGCATCTCGGAGTGCTTGCAAAACCGAGAGTGCCGTCAAAACACGAATCTAGACGGAAAGCCAATCCTAGGGCAAGGGCCCACGTTTGTAGGAAAGGCACGGCGTCGGGGTCAGGGTGATCCATTTTGTAATACATATATATCCGCCGACCCCAGAGGCGTGTGAGGGAGAGTGCGTGCTAGAGCCATTCATCGTGAGCTTCTCCTTTCAAGCAGCCACCGACCGATACCCTCCTCCTGGCTCCCTCCCTTGGAAACTCTGTTCTTGGGCCCCCCTTTCCCCCACCCCACCACTTCTCGCCCAAAACCGACCGATACCCCCAACCACGCTCCCCACCACGCTCCTGCCACGCTCCCACCACGCCCCGGCATCCTCACCCCCAGGCTTCTGGGCTCTGTTCTTGGGACCCCCGACCCCCCGATTTCTCGTCCAAAAACGACCGACGCCTTCCACAATGACCCCCTCGTGGCCCCGACACCCTCAAAGCTTCTGGGTTCCGTTCTTGGGACCCCCGACCTCACGATTTCTCGCCCAAAAACGACCGACGCCCCCCACCATGACCCCCTCCTGGCCCCGACACCCCCAAGCTTCTGGGCTCTGTTTTTGGGGCCCCCGACCCCGCGATTTCTCGCACAAAAACGACCGACGCCCTCCACCATGTCCCTCTCCTGGCCCCGACACCCCCAGGCTTCTGGGCTCTGTTCTTGGGACCCCCGACACCACGATTTCTCGCCCAAAAACAACCGACGCCCCCCACATGACCCCCTCCTGGCCCGACACCCCCAAACTTCTGGGCTTGTTCTTGGGACCCCCGACCCCACGATTTCTCGCCCAAAACGACCGACGTCCCCCACCATGACCCTTTCCTGGCCCCGACACCCCCAGGCCTCTGGCTCTGTTCTTGGGACCCCCGACCCCACGATTTTTTCGGCCAAACGACCGACGCCCTCCACCATGACCCCCTCCTGGCCCCGACACCACCAGGCTTCTGGGCTCTGTTCTTGGGATCCCCGACTCCACGATTTCTCCACCAACAACGACCGACGCCCCCCACCATGACCCCCTCCTGGCCCCGACACCCCCAGGCTTCCGGGCTCTGTTCTTGGGACCCCCGACACCACGATTTCTCGCCCAAAAACAACCGACGCCCCCCACCATGACCCCTCTCCTGGCCCCGACACCTCCAGGCTTCTGAGCTCTGTTCTTGGGACCCCCGACCCCACGATTTCTCGCCCAAAATCAACCCATGCCTCCCCACCTGGCCGCCACCTCGCCCCCACCTGGCCCCGACGCCCCCAGGCCTCTGGGCTCGGTTCTTGGGACCCCCGACCCCGCGATTTCTCGCACAAAATCAATTCCTACCCCCCGCCTGGCCGCCACCTCGCCCCCACCTGGCCCCGACGCCCCCCGGCCTCTGGGCTCTGCTCTTGGGGCACCCGACCCCGCGATTTCCTCGCCAAAAAACGACCCATACCCCCCACCTGGCCGCTGCCTCGCCCTCACCTGGCCCCGACGCCCCCCGACCTCTGTTCTTGGGGCCCCCGACCCCAAGATTTCTCGCCCAAAATCGATCCATACTCCCCCCTCACCTGGCCGCCACCTCGCACCCACCTGGCCCCGACACCCCCAGGCCTCTGGCTCTGTTCTTGTGACCCCCGACCCCGCGATTCTCTCGCCCAAAATCGACCCACACACCCCCGCATGGCCGCGACCTCGCCCACACCTCGGCCCCCGAACCCCCAGGCCTCTGGGCTCTGTTCTTGGGTCCCCCGACCCCGCGATTTCTCGCCCAAAATCGACCCATGCCCGCCACCTGGCTGCCACCTCGCCCCCACCTGGCCCCGACACCCCCAGGCCCCTGAGCTTTGTTCATGAGACCCCCGACCCCACGATTTCTCGCCCAAAATCGAGCCATACCTCCCCCCCCTCCCCCCCCCACCCACCTGGCTGCCACCTCGCCCCC